CAGAGAGAGACAGAGCATGAGTAGGGGAGGGGCAGAGAGAGAGCGAGACACAGAATCTGAAACAGGCTCCAGGCTCTGAGCTGTCAGCACAGAGCCCGACGCAGGGCTCGAACTCACAGACTGTGAGATCATGACCTAAGCTGAAGTCAGATGCTTAACCGACTGAGCCACCCAGGCGCCCCTTATCACTCCTTTTTTTTTAATGTTTATTTACTTATTTTGAGAGAGAGAACAAGCTGGAGAGGGGCAGAGAGAGAGAGGGAGAGAGAGAACCCCAAGCAGGCTTTGCGCTGTCAGCATGGAGCCCAATGTGGGGCTCGAACCCACAAACCATGAGGTCATGACCTGAGCTGACATCAAGAGTCGGACCCTTAGCCAACCAAACCTCCCAGGCACCCTTACCATCACTCCTAAAAGGGACCTTATACCCATTAAGCAGTCACTCTCTGTTCCCCACACCCACCTCCCCAAGCCTGGTAGCCGCTAGTCTGCTTTCTGTCTCTATGGAGTTACCTCTTCTAGATAGTTCATGCAAATTGAATCATACAGCCTGCGGTCTTTTGTGACTGGCTTCTTTCACTTAGCAGAATGTTTTCAGGCTTCATCTGTGTTGTAGCGTGTGTCAGTACTTCCTTTTTCATGGCTGAATAGTATTCCATTGCATGGCTCTATTACAAGTTGTTTTCTCTGTTCATCCATTGATGGATGTTTAGGTTGCTTCTACCTTTTAGATATCGTGAATAATGCTACTGTGGACATTGCTGTGCAAGCATTTGTTTGAATAGCTGTTTTTAATTTTGGGGGGGTCTGTACTTAGAAGCTAGATTGCTAGATCATATAGTAGAGCTACGTCTAACTTTTTGAGGAATTGCCAAATTGTTTTCCACACCATTTTACATCCGCACCAAGCAATGTGCAACGGTTCCAATTTCTCCACATCCTAGCCAACACTTATTATTTTTCTTTTTTTTTTTTTTTTTTAATTACAGCCACCCTAAGTAGGTGTGAAGCGGTATCTCATTGTGGTTTCGATTTGCATTTCCCTGCTGACTAATGATGTTGAGACTCTTTTTATGTGTTTATTGGCCACTTGTTTCTCTTCTTTGGAGAAATGTCTATTCTAATCCTTTATCCATTTTGTTTGTTTGTTTGTTTGTTTTTTATTTTTTTAACGTTTATTTATTTTTGAGACAGAGAGAGACAGAGCATGAACGGGGGAGGGGCAGAGAGAGGGAGACACAGAATCCGAAACAGGCTCCAGGCTCCAAGCTGTCAGCACAGAGCCCGACGTGGGGCTCGAACTCACGGACCGCGAGATCATGACCTGAGCCGAAGTCGGAGGCTTAACCGACTGAGCCACCCAGGCGCCCCCTTTATCCATTTTTTTCAACTGTTTGTCTTTTTATTGTTGCGTCGTAAGAAATTTATATATTCTGGATAGTAGATTCTTATCAGTTCTATGATATGCAAAAATTTTCCTCCATTCTGTGGGTTGTCTTTTTACTTTCTTGGTAGTGTCCTTTAATGTACAAATTGTTTTTAATTTTTTTTTTTTTTGAGAGAGAGAGAGAGGGTGCAAGTGAGCTAGGGGCAGAGAGAGAGAGAGAGAGAGAATCCTAGGAGGGGCAGGGGAAGGCGGGAGAGAGAGAGAGAAGCAGGGTTCATCCAAATTGGGGCTCAAACTCATGCACTGTGATATTATGACCTGAACCGAAGTCAGATGCTTTACACTGAGCCATCCAGGCACCCTAAATTGTTTTTAATTTTTATGAATTCAGCGTATCTATTTTTTGTTGTTGTTGTTGTTTGTGTGTTTGATGTCATAAGAATCCATTGCCAAATCTAAGGTCATGAAGATTTACTCCATGTTTTATTCTAAGACTTTTATAGTTTTAGCTATTACATTTAGGCCTTTGATCTATTTTGAGTCAATTTTTGTAAACAGTGTGAGGTAGGGGTCCAACTTAATTTTTTTTCCCTGTGAATATCCATTTGTCTCAACACCATTTGCTAATAGGACTATTCTTTCTCCTTTGAATAGTTTTGGTACCCTCACTGAAAATCAATTGACCGTAAATGTGTGGGTCGATATATGGGCTCTCAATTCTATTTCATTGATGTGTATGTTTATCCTTATGGCGGTTTCACATTATTTTGATTACTGTAGCTTTGGAGTACTATTTTAAATCAGGAAGTGTGAATGCTTGGGGCACCTGGGTGGCTCAGTCGGTTAAGCATCAACTTCAGCTCAGGTCATGATCTCGCCGTCCGTGAGTTCGGGCCCCGCACTGGGCTCTGTGCTGACAGCTCAGAGCCTGGAGCCTGTTTCGGATTCTGTGTCTCCCTCTCTTTCTGCCCCTCCCCCGCTCACGCTCTGTCTCTCTGTCTCTGAAAAATGAATAAACCTTAAAAAAAAATTTTTTTTAAAAACTTCTAAAATTCTTCAAAAAAAAGTGTAAATTCTTTTATTTTGTTCTTTTTCAAAATTCCTTTGGCTGCAATTCTGGGTCCTTTGCAATCCCATATGAATTTTAGGATCAGCTTTGCTGTTTCTGCAAGAGCAGCTTTTCTTATTTCTTCAAGAGTCTGTTGGGATTTTGATGGGATTGCATTGAATGTACAGACCACTTTGGAAATACTGCTATGTTAACAATATTAAGTTTCCAAATCCATGAACATGGGATGTATTTCCATTCATTTAGGTCTTCTTTAATTTCTTTTAGTAATGTTTGGTAGTTTTCAGCACACATGTCTTTCACTTCCTTGGTTAAATTTATTCCTAACCATCTTACTGTTTTAGACGCTGTTGTAAATGGGATTGTTGTAGCTTCATTTCTGGGTTGTTCACTGCGGGCGTATATAGATATAACTGATTTTTGTGTATTGACCTTATATCCTGCAACTTTGCCAAATTTCATTTATTACCACTGATAGTTCCTTTGTGGATTCTTTAGGATTTTCTATATATAAGATATGTCATCTGCAAATAGAGATGATGTTGCTTCTCCCTTTCCAGTTTGGATGCCTTTATTTCTTTTTCTTGTCTAATTACTCTGGCTGGAACTTCCAGTACAGCATTGAAAAGAAGTGATGAAAATGGGCATCCTCATCTTGTTCCTATTCTTATGGAGAAGCTTTCACTCTTTTACCATTGAGTATGGTGTTAGCTGTGAGTCTTTCATGAAAATCCTTTATCAGATTGAGGAAGTGCCCTTCTATTCCAAGTTTGTTGACCTTTGTTTTATCATGAAAGGATGTTAGATTTTGTCAAATGCTTTTTCCCCATTAATGGAGATGATCATGTGGCTTTTTTCCCTCTTTCTGTTAATGTGTATTGCATTCACTGGTTTCATAGGTTGAATCAACCTTGCATTCCTGGGATAAATCTCACTTGACCTTGGTGCATAACCTCTTTACTCTGCTGAGGAGTTCAGCATGCTAGTCTTTTGTTGAGAACTTCTGTTCCCAAGTTTATCTTTAAAAGGTGGCTGAGGGGCGCCTGGGTGGCTCAGTCGGTTGGGCAGCCGACTTCGGCTCAGGTCATGATCTCGCGGTCCGTGAGTTTGAGCCCCGCGTCAGGCTCTGTGAGCTCTCTCAGCTCAGAGCCTGGAGCCTGTTTCGGATTCTGTGTCTCCCTCTCTCTGGCCCTCCCCCATTCATGCTCTGTCTCTCTCTGTCTCAAAAATAAATAAACGTTAAAAAATTTTTAAAAAATAAACAAATAAATAAAAGGTGGCTGAGCATCTTGGTTAGGAAACAGAAGCTAGGTTGATCTCATGAGAATCCCAACCCTGCCACTCACTTATAACGGGTGTGTTGACTAAGGCTCAGTTTCTTCATCTGTAAAACAGGCTCATAAGCATGTCCATCTCCTGGCATGATTGTGAAGATTCCAACAAAGGGTGGACAGATTTAAAGTGACACCTATGTGGTGTTTCCCTGTGCTAGGCTCTCGTGCCGGCTTCCGGTGCTATGTGCCTCCTTGCATATATTAGCTCATGTAATTCTTGCAACAACCCTGTTAAGTGGGTGCTGTTAGGGCCCACATTTTACAGACAGGGAGGCTTAGGCACTGAAAGGTAGAGTGGTGTTCTTGAGAACACGCAGTTGGAAAGTAGGAAGCCAGAATCAGTGTGGCCTTGGAGCCTCTTAAATATGTACTCAAGAAATGGGCTGTTTTTGTTTTCATTTTTTAAGAATTTAACTTTTTTTTTTAAGTTTATTTATTTATTTATTTTGGGGAGACAAAGAGAGCACAAGCAGGGGAGGGGCAGAGAGAGAGAGAGAGGGAAAGAGAGAGAATCCCAAACAAGCTCCACACCACCAGTACAGAGCCCGACATGGGGCTCGAACTCGCGAAACTGAGATTGTGACATAAGTGGAAACCAAGAGTCGGACGCTCAACCATCTGAGCCACCCAGGCGCCCCCACCCCGGGTCATTCTCTTTTGAAGTAAAATTCCCACCCCCACCCCCCAAAGAACGGCCACTCTTTGACTTTCTTTTCACGGTAGATGAGTTTTGCTGGTTCTCGAACTTCGCATAAATGGAGCGGTAAGGCACTGCTCTCTTGTTTCTGGCTTCTTTCCCTCAGAGCTGTCATTTGTTTCCGTCCCGGTGCAGACGCACACTGAGGCCCCGGGCTGGGGTGGGGGCGCTTGTCCAGGATCACCCGGCACCCAGCCGCGGGGAACCCAGGGCGTCTGGCTTCCGGCCTGCACAGCACAGCGTCTCTAAGCCCGCGCGGATCTCCACCCACAGGGCGAGAGGCTGAGCCACGCGGTGGGCTGTGCCTTTGCCGCCTGCCTGGAGCGGAAACAGCGGCGGGAGAAGGAATGCGGGGTGACGGCCGCCTTCGATGCCAGCCGCACCAGCTTCGCCCGCGAGGGCTCCTTCCGCCTGTCGGGCGGCGGGCGGCCCGCTGAGCGAGAGGCCCCCGAGAAAAAGAAAGGTGGGTGCTGCGCAGAGGGCAGGGCTGGGCACAGAGTGGGCC